CCCTGCATCGGCAGGCGGACTCTCAACCACTGCGCCACCAGGGAAGCCCCAACAATTTACTTTTAATATTAATGCTGTCTGACATATTAGATGGTAGACAACAGTTAACTGGCAGAATTAAATCTCCTATTCTAAAATCCTGAAATCTAAGAGAGGCTGTATTATAATGATCAAATAAAACATCAAATGGTTCTTTCCAGTGGGAGAGAGTAAAACGCAATCAAACAAAAATAAACTATCAATTAGTGTTCATAAGTGCCTGCTATGAGGATGCAATTTAACTCCTTACTTCCTTACCCCTTAAGAGCTAAGATTTGAGCTTTATAAGTTTGTTCTATCCTTTCTTAACTATTTAAAACGTTGAGATATCTACTCTCCCTCCAAACTCCATGCCCACAAAAGTAAAAAGCTAGAAATAGTCTTACCCTTACAAACCTCATGTATGTTTTTCTTCTGGAATCTATCATTTCCCATCTTGTGTTATAATCATTACATACATGCTCTTTTAACCATACTAGATTTCAAACCCTCTGAGGGCAGGGTCAATTATATTTTATCTTTCTATGTATGTCACATAGCTTAGTAAAGTTTCTTGACTAATACTCAACTTTCTATCACCTAAAAAGAATTAAGTCTTGGTAATTATTCGCAGCTTGGTTTAAAAAAAACAAAAACAATACAAAAAAAACCACCACCTCTGGAACTATTAGAAGGGCAATGTTCTCTCTGAGTGGAAGTATGCATGCAACTTGTCTGCTGTCAGTAAAGCACAAACCGGACCAAAATGCCTCTTCTCCCCTTTCCGCTTCAAAGGCTGGATTCCATCCAAGGCTGGATTCCATCCAAGTCAATCAATGTCTCTTAGTTAAGGACAAAGCCTGCCTAGGTTCACTTCAGAGGACCAGGAGAGGCTGATGTAATCTAAGGGGCTTTCTAGTGGTCTGCAAGTACAGGAGAATAAAATCAAAGTTTAACCTGTGAGCTACTGACCAGGTCAAAACCCAAAGAAAACGTTAGAATGTGGACCCTAAAGAGTCCTATAAAAGCCATGGAATCCATGTCTTACAGGTGAATTCAGTCTACATCACATAAAGCTCACACCAGTTAAGACCTCACTACAAACTCTGTAAATGTACCCCAAACCAACCAGCCCCTCACAAGTGAAAAGATGAGAATGTCCTGAGGTGTATACTACACGTTAAACTTTCTCACATACTCCAGGTCATTTCCGTGTCCTGTGGGTTAGTAACAGCCCACAGTAGAGGCAAACTGGCAAAGTAGACGATCAATCAATATAATTCTATTTTCAAGACTGAAAAGTCTATGTTTGTAAATGCACAGAAAAAAAAACTGGGAAGTTATATAACAGTGTTAGCAGCAGTTATCTCTAGGGAGAGATGTGACAAAGTGGAAGTGTGCAAAGGGCGTTTTCTCTTATTATATATACATTGTATTGTTTTAATTCTTCATAAACATTGATTTACCTCTATAATGTTAAAAACAAAATTTTAAGTAAAATTTTGAAATGCGATTCTGTTTTTTCAAAAAGACTGAATAGACCCACATGGAGTTCAAACGAAAAATAAACGCCATTTGCAGAAGTTTGGCTACTAGAGACCTACAGATCAAACAGAAATAACACAATTATCCTATCCTACAAAATAAAAAGCAATGCTGGTAACATAACAAAAATGCCCATAGCAACTGTCACTCAACATTCACTACTTTTGATTATACAACATTAGCCACCAGAGGAATTTTGAGTACCCACCCCCCAAAATTACGTACTGCGTATAACAATCCATAAGTTGTAAGAAGTTTTTAGTGTTTTGCACCAACAAATCATTGACTTATCGGTTTACTTTTCCATAAGTAGTACTATATACATGTATACAAATATAAATTTACATGTCACTGAGGTTCATGTCTGATTGCCTTGAGAAAACCATTTCCCAATCTGAAAAGCAAACTACCTGGACAATCAATTCTTTTATCATTTTAATGCAGTATTCACATTCTCCAACTATTTGTCATGACAACTTTGGAGTTAAAATAAGTAAAAGTAAAATTTTATACAACTACGATTCCTGGGGAAGAAAGGAAGGGAGGACAAACTATGCTCTGAAAACAGCATAATCCAGCCATAATGCCAAATGTAAATAACGTCATATATTTTAGCAAAGCAAAATAAGACTAAACATCTTTAAGAGTTAAACTGGTGACCCCAGACTCTTTCAATTTTAGTTCATTTTCCTAAAAAAAATTAAAAGAAATCATATTGAAAATAGCCAAAATTACCATAAATTAGGAAGGAAAGACAAGCAACAGAAAAAAAACACACAGCAAATTATTTTGGAGAGGAGAACTTTGTTTAACCTTAAACCCATAATATGGTCACAAATATTTTAAAATATAAGGACATACAGTGTGCATGTCACTTCCCACTATCCCCTCATCAGGCTACTTCTCCCTCTGCCCCATCACTGTTAGTTTTCCACTATCCCTCCAGATTTCTTTGTACGTAGAAAAACAAACACAAATCTGTATTCTTATTCCACGGGTGCCCCCTTAACACACAAAGTAGCACATTATTCACACTGTCCTACATCTTGCTTTTTTTCGCTTTATAACATATTTTGGAGATCTTTCCATGTCATTACACAGAAAGCTTCCTCATTCTTCACAGCTGAGCATGACTAGTTCTACCACAACTTCCATCTATCTTCTTCAGGCTAACCTTTAATGACATTCTGTTCAGTCAACTACTTAACACCTGAGTTAGTTTCTTCCCCCCCCCCCCCACCAAAAATTATAAAACAGAGAAAGCACCTCATTACCTAAATTTTATCCTTTTTAGAAAGTTTATTTTTCAACCGGGTAGAGGGAAAACGCCGCACGATTTTCTCCTCTTATCACTTAAAATGAAGCTACAAATTAGAATGCAGACTTAAGTGAAATTACCTTTTTTTGATTCGGGGGATCAGCATAATAGCCACATCAACAATTACTGTAAAAGTTTCTTTAATTCTTGGGCTTTTCCTTCACTGTAAAAGAAGACATTGGTTTTTTTCTTTTTTCTTTTTTTTAAGGTTAGAAAGGCTTAAGGTCGTAGTGCGTGGCATTCTGATAGCAAAAAACCGCCACCTGATTCGATCTTTCATTTGCCAGGTCAGAGGACGAGGCTTTTACCTTTCAGGATTCTGCTATTACTAACAGGACGACTTCTACACCGGCGAAAACGCACTCAGGAACATAAGCTCTGCGGCGCTACGCGTTGGAAACTACACTCCTGGGGCCAGAGCTCCAGGACTAGCTATAAAGACTCCGGCTTCGCCGGCGGAAAGGCAGCTAGAAGAGACAGCTGCCGCGGTGACACGGAACAGGCGGGAGCGGGTGGACGGAAGGAAGGAGAAGTGGCGCCGCGCGGGGCACCCTCGAACCCGCGCAGTCGCTCGAGTCGGACGCGCGGAGCCGCGCGCTCCCCGGGGACCGAGGCCCGGAACCGCGACCACTAACGGAACCAGCCCACGGGCGGCGGTGGCCGCCGCACGGACTGCGGACCGCGGCGCGAGGGCGGGGGTTCCCCGGAGGAGCTGGCCGTCCTGGCGCCCCATTGGGCTCCGCTCCAAACGTGCCCGAGTTGTGACAGGAATAAAGTGGGTCACAAGGCCTAACGGGTCCCCAGCGAAAGCCCTCTCCGCACCCGGTCTCCGGCTTTCCCGGCCGCTCTGCCGCTCGAATCGGCCCCAGCCCAAGAGCGCGCTCCAGCCACCCGGCCCCGCCGTGCACCCCAATCCCGCCCCTGCCCCGCAGGTAACCCCAGCTTTTCCGGAGGGCCCCTCAACCGGGGCGAGCCTCCGCCCCAACTCCCGAGAAAAGACACACTACGGCGACGGGCAAAACTTGGGCTTCAGCACCCGCCCGCCCCTCCCCTGGCCGCCGCCCCCCGGCCCCGTACACACCGCCCCCCGCTCCCTCCCCTTCCCCGCGCCCTCACCTTGCGGCTTGCGGCGGCTCCGGCTTCTTCCCTCCCCCACCCTGGAGCCTAGCTGCGGTGACTCGGAACAGCTAACCCGGCTGCGCCCGGAAGACGCCGTGGCTCCCAGCTCAGGCAGTACCTGGAGCTGAGCGGCGCCCCCCACCCACCCCCAAACAATTCCCCGCGACTGCCTCCCGCTCCTCCTCCCCCTCCCTTTCCTTCCCCTCCTCCACCAGCACCGGTAGCACGCATGCGCCGCCCAGGCAAGCCTACCGGCGGACGTCGCGCCCCAGGCCCACCCGGTGGGGCGCCACTCACCGGGAGCGCGCACGCGTCGGCAACCAGATTTCCTTCGCCCTCTGGGTCTCGGGTGTTTCCTTTTTTAAGCCGGTCGCCGCATGCTGAGGCTGTGATTGCACTCCTTCTCGGCGCATGCGTCATCAGTGACCCCCGCGGGCTCCGACGGCTGGTGCTCTGCGTTCGCCCCTCCCCTCACTCTCCCTTTCCCCGGAGCGTCTCGGTGCGCATGCGACTTGCCTCGTTAGTCAGCCCTGAGCTGCGGAGGGGTTCCCGGGCGCCGGAGGAGACTCCCGCTCCCTTGGGCCGCGCGTTTGCGCGATCCGCGGCAGCCTCCGGCCGTGCAGGAAAACCGAGATCTCCCTGGCGCTCCTTCCCTGCACCGGTTACTGGAAAGCAGGGGAGGCGGGGCCTGGTCGGCTGAGGGTGCGGCCGAACCCGGGAGTGTTAACTTTGGGTCAGGGCGGCTTTGGTGTTCACCCTGGATTCGAGGAGCGAGGAGGAGAGAAAGGAGAGTTTCTTGTATGAGGGATCCAGAGGCTAAAAAGCAGACCCTCTCTCTCTTGAAAAGCAACTCATTTTGCGAATGCCAGGAAAAAATTTTCGGGTGTTGGCAGGCGAAAGACTTTTTTCCCCTTCCAATGGTATCACTTGCGTTTTGTCTCCTTAGACTGGAAGAGGGGATTTGTGAAGGTGACTGGATCTCCAGACTCTTCGCTTCCCCTCTCCTGCAGGTGCACTGCTTTAGTCGCTTCTTATTGGAGGGTGGGCCTGGGGAGACCGGACGGGAATCCTTGGCTGGAGGAGGGAAGGCAAAGAAGGTATGGATGTGCTCCTTTGGAGTTTTTTACCTGATCCTAAAGGCCAGGTGACAGTATAAAGGAAGATGGGAGATGAAGCAGTGGGGATAAACCAGGACCCTAATTTGCACTGCTTCCCTTGTTAGAAAAACGTGTGAATATCTCCCCCTTATCTTAGGGGGAAATTACTTCCCTCGATGGTTAAGACACACTTGGTCCACAAGGGAAAGCACATTTCAGTAGTTGAAAATTATTGGAAAAGAGATCTTTTACTTTCCTAATTCCTAATAGTTTTCATATTTTAATGAATGTCCTTGGGGTTTGAAATAGAAGCCATTTTCTTGTTTCAAAAAATAACTGTTGTGACTATAAAATCCTCCCTTCAAAGTAACATTCATCTCAGTAAACATTTCAAATTCTTGCAGTGTACTCAAGAGAAAAGGAACATCAGAATCGAGGAACTTATTCAGATCCCTGATCATTCACCTGAGGATTTTTCTGTCAACAGTGGGAGAGCATGATGGAGTCATCATATGACAGGATTTTAGTAGACATTTTTTTTCCTGCTTAGCAGTCTTTCCCTATTCTGATCATTTCCTTTGGAGAACTATCCTTTCTTCACTCTCAGACCATATGGCTGGGGCAGGACTCCAGAGGAAAACATATTTGAGTTAATCTTCTGCCTTAGGTTAGACTTACTAAGAAGGGTGATCTCTCTTTTCCAATGGATTTAAGTCTGGAAAAATGGAAGCCTGAAGCCATCTTCCCACTCACAGATTCTGAGAAAAAAGGCAACATGGAAGAAAGCAGATTCAGAAATGGAGATTTGGGCTGGAGACATGTGTGATGCCCTGAATCCATTGTGGACTAGATAATTCTGGAAATTTCAGCTAAGTTACTCAATAAATTCTTTCATGTATCTATTGCTTAAACCAATGAGAAGTTTTCTGTCACTTGCGATCATGAGTCCTAACATACTGGTAGCAAGAGATGAGGCAAGATTAATAATACTGATAAGGAAGGTTTCAACTAGACAAGAGGGTTTGAATGCTTTCCCTAGGATGTGGATGTTTATTCTAGAGAAAGTGATATCATATTCTGCATCATCTAGAACCACATATCTTCAAAAATACCTTTGCGGGCTTCCCTGGTGGCGCAGTGGTTGAGAGTCTGCCTGCCGATGCAGGGGACACGGGTTCGTGCCCGGGTCCAGGAGGATCCCACATGCCGCAGAGTGGCTGGGCCCGTGAGCCATGGCCGCTGGGCCTGCACGTCCGGAGCCTGTGCTCCACAGTGGAAGAGGCCACAACAGTGAGAGGCCCATGTACCGCAAAAAAAAAAAAAAAAAAAAACCCTTTGCCCTTTTTAATGGTTCCATTGTCCTCTTATTCACTAGGAATGTATCATGTTCATCTTTGACTCCTTCCTCTCTTTATGTATTTAATCATTTACCAAGAACTGTTGATAATCCCCTGTTTTTCTGCTCAGTCCTCTGCCACCACTCAGACATTTCCCGTGGCTCAGTTCACAACTTATCTTTCTGCCCATATTCTCTCCAAGATGAAAACTGTATCAGATATTTTTAATCACATTTCCAACTGCCAGACTCCACTTTTCCCTAAAAGAAAAATCCTGCCTCATAGTTTCATAGACCCTAAATTGTCCCCCAGCCTAAATCCTCTCCTTAAACACAATTTATGTAATTCAAATATTGTTCATTTCTTCTTGTCCACCTTGCTATAATTTAAACTGAGCGTTTCCAACTCCCTTCCCAACTGATCTCCACAGTCGATGTCTTGATGGAGGCAATATAGCTTAGTGGCTAAGAGTACAAAATTGGGAATTAAAGGCCAGGATTTATTCCAGCCCCACTACTTAATATCTGCATGACTCTGAGGAAGTTATTTCTCTGTTCTTCACTTTCCTCATCTGTAAATAAAGGATAATAATCCTATCTCATAAGATAATTGAGAGAAGCTATAGAATATAGATAGAGTGTGTGCGTGTGTGTTTGTGTGTGTGTGTGTATTGTACTACCTGGTACATAAGAAATCCCATAGTGGCTATTATTAATGATGCTCCTTTTTGTGTAGGTCTTACATCTCTTGCTCAATTTCTTCCCCTAGTTCCCTGTGTCCTTATGTCCTTTCTGTTCTTTCATAATACCTCTCTCATCCATCCTTTCCTTGACATTCCTAGTTTTGCCACTATAGTTTAAGGTGGATTGGAACATGGGAAGTTTGATATGCATAATAGGGAATATACTGTTAGGGTTTTTTTTTGTTTTTTTTTAAGAATCCTTCATGGTTTAATCAATTACTCTTATTCTTTCTAGATCCTTTAAAATAGTGGGAAGTCAATAATATGAGGTGGTATTACAGACTGTAATCAAAAGTCTAGGCTTAAATCCTGACTAATACTTACTAAGAGACACTGAGCAAGTTAAGTAATTTCTCTGAGCATCAGGGTATTTATCTGTAAAGTGAGAAGAAAAGCATTTCAGAATTGTGATGATCAAGTGTAAATTACAAACTACTGCAGAAAGGTTAGGTGATAAGGATGGGTGGTTTTAGATTTTTATGATTTGTTGTTGAAACCCTAGGAATGATTGAAACAACTCATAGATTTGCAACTCCAGCCTACACCTCTCCTTTGGGTTCCAAACACATATCCAATTGTCTATCTGATGTCTCCTCTTGACTATCTCAGATATCTTAGATGCTCCCTTCAATCTGTTCTCCACAGAGCAGCAAGAATATTCTTTTAAAAATATAAATAAAATCACATGTTCCTACTTAAAACCTTTATTGTTTCCCATTATATCCAAATTCCTAATTGTGGCCATAATAACCTCTTTGATCTAGCCCCTGCTACCTCTCCAACCTCATGTCCTACCATTTTCTTCTTTTCCTGTAACACTTCCAGTTCCTTGCTAATCTCTCTGTATTCTCAGACTTTGGTACATGCTGTGCTCTTGCCTGGACCACCCTCCTACCTTTTCTCCTGGCTGGTTCCTCCTCAATCTTCATGTCTCAAAGATCTAACTACCCTATTTAAGAGGTCTCCCTCCTACCTCTCACCTGCCCCACACACACAGTACCCACAGTTATTCTCTATTACTGCGCTTTTTTTGATATTTGTTTTCTTATCTATTAACTAGCTTCCCCTTGTCACCACTACATGGTAAATTCCAGGAGGCAAGAACCACGTGTTTTTTTCACCACTGTACATGCAGCATCCATTTCAATGCTTGAGTTAAATGAATGATTGAATGAATGAATGAATGAATGAGATGAAAGTTAAAACATGCTAGAAGATTTTCAGGATCATTCTTATATTCCAAGTTATGATTGCAGGCAGATTATAGTCTTGTCAGGAGGTAAACTTAGCCATGTGTATTAAAGTACAAAGGAGAGGTAAACTGAAAACGGTTAGTGAAACACTAGTACTGTGTTAGTAATTGAGTATTTGAAGACCCACAAGAATATATAACACTATAATAGACACAGCTAACACCTGGATGAGAGGCTGCTGAATAAGGTCCAAAATAGGCAGAAAAGAACATGAAGTACTCACCCTCTAAATAGCTGCTTACATTGGGACCCAGATACTTTCTCCTTCAGCCAAGACTACAAGCTGGACAAAACTGGACCTAACACTCCCACTTTCAGGCCTATAAGCAGAACACATGAGAAGAAGAGGATGAGAGAATCATTGGAGCCATGTCTTACGAGGTTCCTGGAGAGCACTGTGGCTTTTCATTTCTCGTTTATTCCCCACCCCACTCTACGTTACGTGAACGAGGCTCCAACAGAATCAGCTAGAGAAACTGCAGTGACTGTAAGAAGAGACTGGAATCTCATCTCTTGCAGACTGTTGATAGGCTCTGCATCCAACTACATGAACAGGAGGATAGAGACTTGGAGAGAAACAGCTAGCCAGGAAGTGGGCTTAAATAATGTAACTCCTACAATTTGGCATGGCAAGGATATGTAAATTTCTACAGGGTCCATCAATGCTGCTGAGAAAGTGCCCTCCGGGTTTGAAACACCTTGACACCTAAGGGGAAAAGAAATTCTAGCAGCAAGAGGCTGGTATACTTCTGGGAGTGGGAACTGAGAGAGATCAAAAGAGAAAGAGCTGCAGAAAGAACTGATCGCCCATATCAAGGAACCATGCAGTGGAGAGGCTGCCTCTGAGTTTCTAGAGCTCAATGTGCCCATTAAAGAGTGAACATTTTGATGCAATATGGATTGTATTTACCCAGTTAAGAGAGACTTATCCCTTTCTTCCTTAATCTCCCTCCCAGTCCCCAAACCACAGAGAATGGACCTTGAAAAGAGAGGGAAGTAATTGGCTAAAAACAAACTCCACCTTCCATCTTCAGAGTTCCTGAGTCACAAGTTCAGCCAGAGAACACTTGCCTGGGACCTGAGATTGGAGTTTTAAACCAGACAGACTTTTCATAACCAAAAGTGTGAGAGAAGAGTTAAAGAATATGTTCAAGATGTCTTTAGGGGACTTGCTAACTAGTGCAGCTTAATCAACTGAGGATCTCATTAACACAAAAATTCCAATTCAGCTAGCCTGGGATGGGGCAAGAGACTGCATTTCTAACAAGTTCCCTGGGGCCGCTGCTGATTCTAGGACCACACTTTGACCAATAAGAGACACTATAAAGTAGGGAAGGGAGTTTCAGTAGAGCATGGTTGGCAGCAAGGAATAGAGAAAAATATTAGGTTGGCTATATGAAATATCCATTTTTGTAGGTCAAAATGTTTGAATATTGGCAATTTCAAAAAACCTTTTAAGTTTGTATCCAAGCAAATAAAAATTCATTCAATAAAATGGGAAACACAATATTAAATATTAAATAATTCCCCCACATTCTAACAATTATTTATACCCTACTTAAGTGAGAATGTATAAATGAAGTAGGGTATGAAATAGTACTGACCTGTATTGGTAAGCACGAGTACTTGCTAGAAGAATGTATTTGTGTGTGTGTGTGTGCGTTACTTGAAAAAGGCTGAGGCTGGAATCAAAACCAGCCACCTCTAACATGCTATAATTTTATGAATTTTACAAATGTTAAAGTTTTCATGAACTATGCTTGTATGTAAAAACTACTGCCACCTGGTGGATTTAAGAGTTAAAAGAAATATGGATCTTTTTATTCAGACATCTTAAATACTTTTAGTACTTCCTCTGTTAATTTTTACTTAAAAAAGGAAATAGGCAAATATGGATTTACTAAAACAAGATTACATTTAGGGGAACCTTTTGCATTTAGTTTCAATTGGAAGGGAAATAATGTTTATACTTATATATATTAGATGGCACTAAAGTTACATTTTAACTTTATGATAATATGGCTTTTCCCTTAATTTCCACAACTGTTTTATCCTCAATAGGAATTTTTCCATCCATTTGTTAGAGAATTTCAGGAGTTGGATCTTATAGGTAATTATGTCTCTGATATGTGTGCATAAAACTATAATAAAGACCACTGTGTGCAACTCCCAACTTTCCTTCCCTTCATCCCAATATGTATATTTTCAAAACCTTTCTTTGCTATCTCAGAAAGGGTCTTCCTGATTCTTTCCAAAGTTAGATCATTTGATTTTACCTTATCTGGTGAAATAAATTATCATTACCTTACTCAATCTGTATTTAACTTTCCTTCTACTTCATCATTCTCTGCAGCCTCTGTGATCCCAACTCACCCCCAAGAAGAGCAAAGAGCCTTTTCTGATTCCGTGTTAAACTGCCTCAATTCTCACCAATTTATTTTTGTAATCTAATCATTTAAAGTCTAGATTCTCTCACAGACATCGGTGAATATCCATAATCAGAATGATGGGACATCAATACAAAAATAGTAGAAGAATAAAATCTGTTAGTGAACTATTATTACATGCTGGATTTAACACCATTGTCTCTAAAAGTGGTGTTAATTATTAAGCCAAGATAAAACATCCTGCAGGTCTTCTTCAGTGTCCTCATATTACATATTTTCTCATGATGAATTCTTCTGTGATTACTATTAAAACATACATAAGCCTCATAATATATTTTTCTCACTTCTCTTCATGATTTAGAAACTTACATTGTATGACTTACAATGTCATACAGTTCTAATGATTCTGTTGCCTAACTGTGAGTATACTTAGTAAATCAATATTTTCTAACTTAATAATAGAACTATTAAAAACTACAATAATGAGTGGAGAAGTTTCTTGTGTACTTTTCAGAATCTTTAAATTGCATTTTTTCTATTGATTGGTTAATTTTTTTTAATAGGTAAGAGATTTCGAACAAAAGTCATATGGTCATAAATTTAAGTATTTTCATTCAAAGCCCCTAAATAATAGACTTTAATATTGATTGAAGTAAATTAAATGAAATTTCATGGTTCTCTTTCATCATTTTTATCCACAGGCCTCTTTGGAAGTGAGCAGGCAACACAGAGGACTTGTAATATTTTTGTTTTTGTCCAATAAGGATCCGAAAAAAGATAAATCACAAACAAATATTAAGGGTTCAGTACAAATTCTAGATTTGTTGGAGGCAATGAATATTCTAAAATACCTGAAAGTTTTTATAATGACATATAAGCTATAATTCTAATATAAAAAAGAAATTTATTTATGAATTTTCTGATCTTTGATTATAAAGGCAGTGGCAAATAAAATATTCCATATATAAACACTTTAAAGCTATTTATTAAATATTTCTATTTGGTATCATCATTATCACTGTTTGAGCTATTAGTGTCATCATAAATACAAGTGTTTCTAATTGAAGATACCATCACATCTACAATGACTCTTTTGGGGTTTTCTTCCAAATCAGTCTGTATTGCTCCAACTTCTGCTAGCTTCCATTCAAGTTCTGCAATAAATAATCCATCAATAAATCAGATAAAAATCTTGGAACATCTATATGAAACAGAAGTTGACTCTAATAAAATTAATGTGGAAATGATGATATATTTAGAACTAGGTTACAATGAAAGTACTACAATATCAAGATACACATTGGATACAGCAAAGTTATACTTAAAGGGAGAAATTACGGTTAAAGTGTTTATTTTAAAATGACTGAAAATAGTGCTTTGAAAGTACAAATCAAGAAGTTAGGAAAAAAATAAAGTAAACCCAAAGAAAGCAGAATGAGGCATATAATGAAGAAAAAACTTTAGCAAAAGTAGAAAAACAAAATCAGTAGAGGTGACCAACAAAATCAAAAGTTGATTCTTTGAAGAGACTAACAGACACAATTTGGGCAAAAATGATCACAAGTATAGGAAAGAAACCAAATAATATAAAGATTTTACACACGGGGAATAACCAAGATAAAGACTTTAAAGCCATGAGACTACTATGAGAAAAAAAGTATGCCAATACATTTGAAAATTTTAGTGGGAAAATTTCAACAAAAATGTGAATTACGAAAACATATTCAACAGGGAAACTGAAAAGAATTGAACTGATAACCAAAATCCCCCAACCCTGCAAATTCCTTATTTGTTAAATTTATTCCTAAGCACTGTATAAATGAACAGACCATTTGTGAGGAAAATTACAAAATACACTTATGAGGAAAATTACAAAATATATTACATTATGAAAAGTAATACAATTGACGCTTGAACAACACAGGTTTGAACTGCAGGGGTTCACTTATTCGTGGATTTTTTTCAGTAAATGTATATTATAGTACTACATGATCCATGGTTGGTTGAATCCACAGATGCAGAACCGCAAATATGGAGGGCCAACTGTAAAGTTATGTGTGGATTTTCGACTGCATGGGGTCAGTGCTCCTAACCCCTGTGTTGTTCAAGGCCAACTGTAAATATATTATATTTATGAGGAAAACTACCAAAAAATGAAAGAAGACCAAAATAAGTGACATGCTATATCTTATTCATGGATAGGAACATTCACTATTATTAGGATATCAAGTCTCCAACAATTAATCTATAAATATAATTCTAATAACTAACCAACAGTATTTCTCACAGAACTTGACTAATTCCAACATTTATATAAAATTTTGAAAAAGACTTGCCCTACTAGAGACAACTAGATTGTTACAAAGGTACAGTAATTAACACAGTGCTATACTGATTCAGGGATAGACAAACAGACCAGTGGAACATAGTAGAAATTTCAGAAACAGATTGAAGCATTTTTTTTAATCCTGAAAAATGACACTGGAAATATTAAAAGCCAGTGGGGGAAAAACACATCACATACATTAGGATGGTTACTATTTTAAAAAACAAAACAGAACATAACAGGTGTTGGTGTGGATGCAGAGAAATTAGAACTCCTGTGTACTGTTGGTGGGAGTGCAATATGGTGAAGCCCCTATGGAAAACAGTATGCTGTCGCTCAGAAAATTAAAGTAGAATTATCATACGATCTAGCATCTCTACTTCTGAGTATACATTCAAAAGAACTGAAAACAGGGACTAGAACAGGTTATTTGCACGTCCATGTTCATAGCAGCATTATTCACAACAGCCAAAGACAGAAGCAACAAATCTTTCCATCAACACATTAGTGGGTAAACAAAATGTGCTATAAAAACATACAATGGAATATTATTCAGCCTTAAAGCCTTAAAAAGGAAGGAAATCCTGACCCATGCTACAACATGGATTAACCTTGAGGACATTATGCCAAGTGAAACAAGCCAGTCACAAAAGGACAAACACTGTATGATTCACTGAGAGGAGTCAAATTCAGAGGTAGAAAGCAGAATGGTGGTTGCCAGGGGCTGGAGGGAAGAGAGAATAGGGAGTTATTGTTTAAGGATATAGAGTTGCAGTTATGCAAGATGCAAAGAGTTCTAGAGATGGATAATGATGACGATAGCAGCACAACAGTGAAAATATATCAATACTTAATGTCACTTAAAGATATACTTAAAAATGATTAAATAAAATAACATTATTTATAAATTAAGTCCCAGGTATGTAATGTATACCACAATAACTACAGTTAATAATACTGTATTGTATATTTTTAAATGGTTAAAATGGTAAATTTCATGTTATGTGTATTTTACAATTAAAAAATTTTTTTCAAATGTAACAATTTTAAAAAGCATGGACCAGATAACACACTATTCATGATAGTGATTGCTTAGTGAGGCAGGGAGGGGAACAGGATTAGGAATGGAAATACAGGCAACCTCAACAATATCTGTACTGTTTTTTTCAATAATAAACAAATAGCTGAAGCAAACATGAACAAATGTTCACATTTGTTATTTTTGGTAATGATTACATGAATATTTACTATATTATTGTCTGTATTTCTATGCAGTTTTTAAATTTAGAGGATAAGGTACAAGCTGAAAAAACAAGGTAGTAAAACAAAGAGGGGCCTTAGAGACTGGGAGAAGGAAAATTCTGGAACAATCAAAATACTGGAGGCCTTAGTAAGGCCAAAAGCAGTTTTAGGGGAATGAGAGAGTGAAAGGAAAGCTGTTAAAAATAGCTATTCACAATGGCTTTAATACGATTGTCTGAGAGAAAGATTTTAATAATACAGGATTAAAGCAGTTCCAAGAAATGACTAACTGAAGAATATGGTCTTAGAACTAGGTTAGAAAGTAAACATTATTAAAAAAGGTAAAAATATAAAGTCCTGTGCTGTAAACTGTCAAAAAGAAAATAGTAGTAGGCATAGTCCTTGTACCTGTTAGGGAGACAAAACTCAAAGGGAATTGGTTAACCAACAAAATCTGACAGTATGTAGGTAAGTGGAAAATAAGTTGTATAGAGAATATATGCTATAGAAATTCAGTAGAGAAGATGAGAACAGATTATAAATTGGTCCAGAATCACATAATGGAATAAATGGTAACCTAGGAGACCCATGAAGGAATAGGGTTTGGATGGAAGAAAAAAGTAGGGTAAGGTATTTGGGGTATAGGAAAAGAGTATGAAACAAAGTATAAAGCCATAAATGAGTTAAGTGCATCTGGGGTAGTGGTTGAAGACCAGCCTGGCTGGAGCAGCAACTAGGAAGCACTGAGAAGTATAATTGTATAGATGGGCTGAAAGTTTCAAGCATATGATTCTGAATTTTTAACTTATTTGAAACAAGGAACCATTAAGGATTTAAGCAAGTGCGTGTTATGACAGTATTACTGTAGGAAAATTAATCTGGAGGCATCTAAGAAGAAAAAGAAGTAAGAGAAAATAAGAAATAAGAGGAAAAACCTTATGTTTTATGAAAATAAACTTTCATGATATGTTAATTTATAGAAGTTTTTTTACAAATGAATTTAAACGTAACATCATTACCTTCTAGCTTGAGATTTATCCCTCCACATTCTATAATTCCAATGAATTTGCCTTCTATCTGACCATTTTTATAAACAAAAATTGTTGGTAAACAGTTGTCATGGTAGTGTTGAATACAGCTATTCACAATGGCTTTAACAAATTTAGCTTCAGGAAACTTTCTTGCTAGGAGACTAAGATGCTGGTTAACCAACGAACACATTGGGATGCTAAAAAGAGAAACAGTACACACAACGTTGTTAAAAAACAAGACTACTTATCTCAATCTAATAAAATAAGTGAAACATCTCCATGACAAAAATATATCTTTAGATATTCTTTTAATATAAGAGCATATCAATTGCTATCCTCTATTTTTACCTTTAGTAAGGATGAACTATAGAGTTCTCTGATTTTTAAAAAAATATATTTATTTATTTATTTGCCTGCACTGGGTCTTAGTTGTGGCACGCAGGATCTTCGTTGCAGCATGAGGGATCTTTTAGTTGCGGCATGCAGTTTCTTTAGTTGCGTCTTGTGGGATATTTAGTTGCATCCTGTGGACTCCTTAGTTGCATCTTGTGGGATCTAGTTCCCTGACCAGGGATTGAACCCGGGCCCCCTGCATTGGGAGCACGGAGCCTTAGCTACTGGACCACCAGGGAAGTCACAAGTTCTCTCATTTTTATTACAAACACTGTTATAGCCTAGGAATGAAGCTTGCTACCACGGGAATTTGCTGCCTAACTGAAGCTAACCACATCTGACTTAGCATCAATTTAATCGAGCCAGTTCCTAGTTTATAGCACATGGAGGGGGTTGGGGGGCAGTGGGGCGGGGGGAGGAGAAAGAAAGAAAAAAGAAAAGAAAAAAACAGGACATATCTAGGGACTCCTTAGCAGCTCTGAATTGAAACAAGGGGATCCCAACTCTTCATCAAGGGTTTATTTCCACATGAGATAATCACATCTGAAGTTATTTCAAGCTTCCTTGAATTCCTTTACTCTAACAAACTTCATCCATCCTTCTCTTTGACATGTCACATCCTGTTCCCCATCATCCAGAACTATTCTTCATCAGAAATTTAAAATTGATTGGAAATGTAACCAAAACCTACAATTCTTCCTGCTCTATCACTTAACTCTCATTACACTCACACGTTAATTAGTCCCTTTTCTCTCAGTCTATCACTCACTCATAGATTTATCAAATACTTTCAAAGCTAATCCTCTGCTTTATCCCACACTCTTTCCATGTCCTATGGGGCCTTTATTTGTTATTCTGCTTCCCTCTCTTCCTGTTTTCTTAACCTTTCCTTCTCCACTTTACATAAAATTACTAAATTTTTTAAAAAGTCCCTTTTAACTCTCCCTCTAATAAACTACTCTCTCTCCTTCTGGTCACAGCCTAGATGAAAAAGGTAAAAAAAAATCTCTATGTTCTGTTCCCTTCCCTTGTTAAAGAGTTCTCCTTTTTTGACTTCTGTGATAACACTTTCTATTAATTTCCTTTTTACTCCTTTGACTTCCTTCTTCTGTCTATACCTCAAATGTAGATATTCCTTGTAATTATGTCCTAGACCCTTTTCTAATTCTAGACACATTCACTGGGCAGTCTCACCCATTCTGATATCAACAGCCGATGAACTTCATCTCCCCTCCTCCCTCAAACAAACAAACAAAAAAATCTGATCTTTATCAGTATTTTCTTTAAAAAAAATAAAACACTGAATTTGATACATGTATTTCTCCTTTGTATGCATTTTCTCATCATTCATATAGAGCATGTTTGAAACAACAGTGTAAAGAAATATTTGTGTGAACTGATGTTAATTAGGGAAAAGTTCTTTAAACAGACAAAATTAGTACTTTTTTCTCTTGTACTACACTTTATATGTCCTTTCAAAATATATATATAATGTTTAACGGGCCTCTTGTACTATACCATAAAAGCATCTTATTCCCCTTTGTATTCTCAACTCCTAAAACCTGTCACACCTATAGTTGAAGTCGAAGCTCTCTTAACTGAGTGGCTCATGCCAGGGCATACTGCATGCCCCAGGCAGGTGGTAACCCTTCTGGACTTTTGTCTGTTTTTGCCCTCTACACCTATTTATGCCCACTGCATATTTTATTATAATTAACAAATAAATAAAAATGGGACAACAAAAATCATTGTAGTTCTTAAGAAAATCAAATGCATGCTTTGGAAAAACTTAATAAAGCTGAACCACTAAGAAAAAAATTGCAGTTTAGTTCATTGTAGGCTAGACAAACATAAATGATAGAGGAAGAATAAGGATTTCTGCACTCAAATTGCTTCGCATGTACTTTTGAGTTCTTGCTCCATTTTTAAACAAACCCTGAAAACTGAAATCAATGGTAATGCGCTAGGTCTTATCAATATTTGGGGGAAGACTTGTATATTTTTTAATTTGGCTTTTCTTTATCAGTTTCTGGCTTTTATCCTCAATATATTTTGCTAAACTTGTTTCACAAATTAAAAAAAAAAATCTCAACAAAGTGGGTATAGAGGGAACGTATCTCAACATAATAAAGGCCATATATGACCAGCCCACAGCTTATGTCATACTCAACAGTGAAAAGCTGAAAGCCTTTCCTCAAGATGAGGAACAAGACAAGATTGCCCACTCTTACCGCTTTTATTCAACATAATATTGTAAGTCCTAGCCAGAGCAATTAGGCAAGATACATAAATAAATAAATAAATGGCATCCAAATAGGAAAGGAAGAAGTAAAAATGTCACTATTTGCAGATGACATGATATTATATGTAGAAAACCCTAAAGACTCCATCAAAAAAAAAACTGAATAAAGAATTCAGTAAAGTTGCAAGATAAAAAAAAATCAATCCACAAAAACCAGCTGTGTTTCTATACACTAATCATGAACTATCAGAAGGAGAAATAAAGAAAACAATCCCATTTATAATTGCATCAGAAAGAATAAAATACCCAGGAATAAACTTACCCAAGGATGTGAAAGACCTGCATATTGAAAATTACAAGACATTAATGAAAGAAATTGAAAAAGAAACAAACATGAAAGATACTTTGTGCTCATGGATTGGAAATTATTTTTGTTAAAATGTTCATAGCACCCAAAGCAATCTACAGATTCGATGCAATCCTTATCAAAATGCCAATGGAATTTTTCACAGAAAGAGAACAAATAATCCTAAAATTTGAATAGAATCACAAAAAATCCAAATAGCCAAAGCAATCTTGAGAAAGAACAAAGCTGGAGGCATCTTGCTTCCTGATTTCAAACTGTATTATAAAGGTATAGTAATTAAAATATTATGGTATTTGCATAAAAATAGACACAAAGATCAATGGAACGGCATAGGGAGCCCAGAAATAAACCCACACCTTATATGGTTAATTTATGACAAAGAAGGCAAGAATATACAATGGGGAAAGGACAGTCTCTTTAATAAATGGTGCTGGGAAAACTGGACAGTCACATGCAGAAAAATGAAACTTGATCCCTATCTTACACCATACACAAAAATTAACTCAAATTGGATTAAAGACTTGAATGTAAGACCTGAAACCACAGAACTCCTAGAAGAGAACGTAAGTAATGACGTAGGTCTTGGTAATGATTTTTTGAATCTGACACCAAAAGCAAAAGCAATGAAAGCAAAAGTAAATGAGACTACATTATACTAAAAAGCTTCTGCACACCAAAAGAAACTATCAATAAAATGAAAGGCAACCTACTGAATGGGAGAAAATATTTGCAAATCATACGTCTGATAAGGAGCTAATATCAAAATATATAAAGAACTCATATAACTCAATATCAAAAAAACAATCTGATTTAAAAATGGGCAGAAGATCTGAATACACATTTTTCCAAAGAAGACATACAGACGGCCAACAGGTACATGAAAATATACTCAACATTATTAATCATCAGGGAAATGCAAGTCAAAACCACAGTGAGATATCACCTCACACCTATTAAAATGGCTATTATCAGAAAGACAGGAAATAACATGTTGGCAAGGACATGGAGAAAAGAGAATTCCTGTGCACTGTTGGTGGGAATGTAAATTGGTACAGCCACTATGGAAAACAGTATAGAGGTTCCTCAAAAAATTAAAAATAGAACTACCATATGATCTAGCAATTCTACCTTTGGTTATTTATCTGGAGAAAAAAACCACTAACTCGAGAAGATACATGCACCCCCATATTCATTGCAGCATTATTTACAATAGCCAAGATATGGAAACAACCTAAATGTCCATCAATGGATGAATGGACAAAGAAATTGTGGTATATATACAATGGAATATTATTCAGCCATAAAAAAGAACAAAAATTTGCCTTTTGGGACAACACGAATGTACCTAAAGGGTATTATGACAAGTGAAATAAGTTAGACAGAGAAAAGCAAATGCCATATGATATCTCTTATATGTGGAATCTAGAAAGAAAGAAAAAAAAAGCTCATAGATACAGAGCACAGACTGGTGGCTGCCAGAGGTGGGGGAAATGGATAAAGCGGGACCGAAGGTAAAAAAGTCAAAGCAGGGAATCACACAAAAATAATTTTAACTTAAATATTTTATTTTCATCTGACATATATAAACATACATTAATTTAGTAATCTTTGATATTGGCTCATGAGCTGCTCATCTATAGCTTTTCTCATCTAAACTATACCATAATACATTGTACCATAATACATCTGTATTTTCTCAGTGCACTCAGGCCAAAAAATCTCCCTTTCCTCTACAATATCTAATAAGTAATCAAGTTATATTGATTCTACCTCCTTATCTTATACCTATCCTCTCCTCTCTTTCTCTACTGCTTTCCTCCTTTCCTGTCTCATCTGAGCAACTTCAGATTGTCCTAAGTGGTCTCTGTGTCTCCAGTCATGGTTCCCCAAACCCATCCTAGACCCTACTGAAAAAGTTGGCTCAGCAGGAAAATCTCATCATGCAACAAATGCCCTTCCCTCGATTGTAAAATCCTCCAATGGCTCCTCACTGCCTTCAGGATAAAGTCTGGGCTCCTCAGGGTAGCTTTCAAGATTCTCTGTGGTCTGGCTCCTGCCTATCTCTCCCGCATTATTGTCTGCCTGCCACCATATTACTCAAGGTCCTCTAAAGCAAGATGATCCCTCTTATTTCTGTACCTTTGTTCAAGCTGCATACCCCATCAGAAATACCCCATTCAGTCTGTCTACTTCCTCCAACTCTGTAAACTCGGGGAATCTTTTCTTAATTTTTGAGGCCAAGACCAAGAATTATTTCACAGAAAGTTCTGTACTTCCACCCTCCAAGAGTTGAACTTACTACTCCCTCTTCAGTGCCTTTACTCTACTCTGTATAGAATTCAATCATAGCAGCTAAAAGACATAATTATTACATCTAATTGTCTCCCTCTACTGAAATTTCTTTAATGGGAGAGATAGATGCCTTATATGCCTTTGCACCTCCCGCATCTACAAAATCCTCAGAAATCAGCTTAACACTAAGAGATGTTATATATCAATTTATGTAACAAAAAGCTAAGAGAAAAACAAATTAAATGCATTATATGTTTAATTTACATTTCAGAATATATGTATACATATATATCCTGATAAGTATAACCTGTTACAAATCTAGATACTGCTTTATTTTAGTGGATAGCATACTAAAGGTAATATTAGAAAAACATGTACTGCCTAACTTAAATCAGTTTTCCACACAAAGCAATGACATAAATACTTTATAAGCTTCAGTTTCCCTCAAATAGGTGAAATGCACCCACAAATATCTAATTTAGAAGAATTTTATGATTACTATCACAATGAGAGCTGAGTCGGTGGTATGACCCACTTATGGGGTGGGTGGTGTTAATGGCAGAAGGCAGGTGGGCATTGGTGGTAGCAGTGAAAAGTACAGAATTAGGAGAGTATGGCACAATAGACTGCAGTGCAGGGAGAAAGTGGCTACCTGAAGGCAGTTCTGACAGCAAGCGGTAGGGAAAAGACTTGGTGTTGGGGTTCAAGGGCCAAAATTGAACCTCAGAAGATCTGTAAAAACTAAGGGAGACCTCTGACATCCGAAAACAAGTTAAAGGCCTAGTTATGATATTTGAGGTTCAAAATATACAGTTGGGTACAGGAATAATGTAGAAGCCCCAAATTAGAACTTGGACACAGGCGTAAGATTGAATAAAATCGAAAACAAGGCTGACTTGAAGTTAAGCCACTAGGTTCACTGGCCCAGAGTGAACTAGATCCCTTTAAGGTAACCTAAGCAGGCTGAGCCTATAAACTTAATGGCAAAGAGACATTAAAATTACAGAACTTAGGAATCTAGTTAAAAAACAAACTCTTACCCTCCTGTAAAATTTTTAGAAGGTAGCTAGAAACACAAATTTATCATACTTTACATTATTAAAAAGTTATTAAAAACTAGACTTTTCTAAAGAACATGTGTAACACAAATAATTGTTTTCTGTTTTATAACTTTGATTATAGTTTTCTTAATTTTGTACCAACACATTAATACATTTTCTTAATGTCAAGAAAACTAATTTTATTTTTTCTTGGCTGCGCTGGGTCTTAGTTGTGGCACGCGGGATCTTCGTGGTGGCATGTAGAATCTTTTAGTTGCAGCATGACAACTTTTAGTTGCAGCATGTGGGATCTAGTTCCCTGACCAGGGATCGAACCCGGGCCCACTGCATTGGGAGTGTGTGGTCTTAGCCACTGGACCACCAGGGAAGTCCCAAAACACGTATTTTATGTAACTATCTTAGATTGCCCCCCCAGGAACTTTCTGAGAAGGTCATAAATACTTAAACTATTATGAAAACAGATTCTTACTCTTTGAGTCCATCAAAGCATAACAGTTTGAAACAGACTAGATGAGACTAAAACACATTCAACCTCTTTTATGAATTTTTGAAAATTATTGGTCAAAACTAGTTATTTATCTAGATATAACCATTAAAGTAAATTTTATACTATAGTATGAGCATTCAAAACTAACATCTATTCTGCTAATCAGAATGGGTCTCAGAAAAGACATTCAGTGAATCACTTCAGTATATAACATTTATCACACACAGATCCCAGTATTATAAATGTCAGTGTTCCTCATACCTATTTGTGAAGAATGAAAATCAGCAGCATTTACACACTTGATTTTACCATATAAGTGGTATAGGTAAAATGGGAATTGATTCTTTTTAAGGCTTTAAACTACTCAAAAATTAATTATCAATCTTTTTAGTTACAATAAAAGTAATGTCTTCTTTTATGGGGCACGGTGTCCTATTAAAATTTGTTTGAGAAACTGGTGAGTTGGTAAACAGCAGGGTTCTAATTTGCCTAAGTTGCTCTGTTCAGAATTTCTCTGAGGATCTGATGAGAGAAGAACTTTTTATACAGAGAATGAGATGAGGACATGAGGGCTACTGTCATGACCTCTGTTCTTATTTGGCTTGGAGCTCAGGCAGAGGGGCTGGGATCAAAAGCTAGAGGGGCTGTTTCCATGAGAGATGTGTGAAACTATGGGAGCTAGCAGCTCCTCTGGCCGGGAGTTAGGGAAAAGTCCACTCTTCCTGGTAACTGTTACAGCAGGCTGGTGAGGCCTGGGGACATATGGGTTATACTTAATACAACTAGGCACTCTAAAATTATCTGTTTTGGGGGAATAAGGGAATGCAAGGGAATTATTCAGTTAAAGGAGACTTAAGAGCTGAATTCCCTAGCAGTCCAGGGGTTAGGACTCAGTGCTTTCTCTGCCGTGGCCCCAATATCTGGTCATGGAGCTAAGATCCTGCAAGCCATGTGGCTCGGCCAAAAAAAAAAAAAAAAATAGAGAGACTTAAGAGACTTGATATATCCAAATGCACTGCATGATCCTTATTGGACCCTTGTTCAAAATATATGTATTTATGAAAGAGATTTTGAAGTCAGTTGGAGAAATTTGAGTAAGGACTGCCTGGGTATTAGGTGAGAAAATGGTTATATAGAAAAATGCCCTTATATTTTGAAGATGCATGCTGAGGTACTTCAGAGTAAAGCATCGCGTAATTTATTTTGAAATGGTTCTACAAATACACACACATACACATATAAACAAAATGATACAAATATGGCAAAATGTTCATTGTTGAATCTACCTGGCTGGTATTTAGGGTGCTCATTTTATCATTCTTTTTACTTTTCTGTATGTTTGAAATTTTCTATAAGTTTTTTTAATTAACTGTCAAAGAGTACTTATTTTTCTAAGAAGTATAACAAGTTCTTTAAATTAGACATGAAATATATTAAAATACCTAATTTAATCCCTGAAGCCAATGACTCTACACATATATTTTTCTTTATTTATTTTTGGCTGTGTTGGGTCCTTGTTGCTGCGTGCGGGCTTTCTCTAGTTGTGGCGAGCGGGGGCTACTCTTTGTTGTGGTGCCTGGGCTTCTCATTGCGGTGGCTTCTCTTGTTGCAGAGCATGGGCTCTAGGCACGCGGGCTTCAGTAGTTGTGGCATGCAGGCTCAGTAGTTGTGGTGCACGGGCTTAGTTGCTTCACGGCATGTGGGATATTCCCGGACCAGGGCTCGAACCCATGTCCCCCGCACTGGCAGGCAGATTCTTAACCACTGTGCCACCAGGGAAGCCCATATTTTTCTTTTTTTAATTGAAGTATGGTTGATTTACTTTATTTTCCTTGATTAATCTTTGTTATATGCTTTATACAACATTAAAACCAGAAATATGTATATTAAAAATTAGTATATTAGCCTTTTGCAAAAAGCTATGGTAATTACCTTGATCTGTATAGGTGAATTATAACCCACACATCCTTTTCTGCATTTGTGACTTCATTCACATACTGATTTCCAGAAATTTCTCTTAATTCCCCAAATTTTTGTTTTTTCTTAAGAGCTTTCCATTCCTGTAACCGCTTTTCTCTAGTTAAGAAAAAGAAATTAAATTACATAAGAATATTGTTATATTCTTAAGGCCATCCCCATATACAGTAATAATTTAGAGCAATGAATGTAATGCTAGTACATATCAAACACTTTAAAGAGTAACTATTAACGGCTTTACAATGCCAGTTTCTCTTTTTATACGGGTATTTGCTTTATCATGGGTATTGTAAAGTATAAGAAATTAGCTACTGACTTAATTTTTGTTTAAGGCTAAGTCAATCATAGCTATAGAGAGTTTATTTAGACACTGGGTCAACAAATTCTCATATACGGCTTAAATAAATAAAGGGAGAGTGTACATAATAACTAACATTTATTGAGGGCTTACTATGTTGCTAGGTGCTGTTTTAAGTGCGTTAACTAATTTAATCCTTGCAAAAACTTTATGAAGTTAGTACTATTACTATCCCCATTGACATGCTCTTACCTATCATGCTAAGCTGACTTATAGTTCAAAGCCTTTGTGAATATATGCAATTAATTGTTATAAATGTATTGCAGGTAGAGAGGTGGTAGAGAAAGAGTGATTATGAGTATGGACTCTAAGGTCAGACTGAACTGGCTTTAAGTGCCAGCTCCCACTTACTAGTGGCGTGGACTTGGGCAAGTTATTTAATCTTTCCAAGCTGCAGTTTCCCCCAATGTGAATAAAACTAAAATCTGCTTGCATGGGATTGTTCGGGATTAAGTGTAAACATGTAAATTTCTTAGGGCAGTGTCTAGCGCACCATGAGCCTTTCATAAATGTTACCTAGTTATTCATCTATAGAGAACCTTAAAACTTTGTTAAACAAATCTCAAAATTTACATACTTTGATTTAGCTGTTGAATACTTGAGTTTATGAAGCAAATCCAAATGGTTCTGACATATCTGCAAGTATGTTAAAAGTTACTAACTGTGTATCTCTAAGTACCTGGAAGTACTTACTCCCCTTCTTTCTCTGTGTATTAACTATATTTTCTTGTTTTCTGTACAGTAAGTCCTCTACATACAAACAAGTTCCATTCTGAGAGCACATTCATTAAATCCAATTTGTTTGTAAGTCCAACAAAGTTAGCCTAGGTATCCAACTAACACAATCGGTTATATAGTATTGTACAGTAATAAGTTTATAATACTTTTCACACAAATAATACATAAAAAACAAACACAAAAAAATAAAACATTTTTGATCTTACAGTACAGTACCTTGAAAAGTACAGTAGTGCAGTACAACAGCTGGCATACAGGGGCACTTTGGCATCTTTGAAAGTTCTCAACTTGAAGGTTTGTATGTAGGGGACTTGCTATATTCAGCTCTGGCATCTGGGGTCTTTCTGATCCTAGAGAGACTGCCCCTCTCTGAGCTAGCTAGTTCCCAAAGATAGCAAACACTCACCAGAAAGCACAGTCCTGAAATGCAAACCAACCAATCCAGAGCCCAGTCCCTCAACTACCTCCTTTACTGGGCTGAGCCACTATCCCCCTGCCCAAATCATCCCCTGGGCTTGGTACCAGACAATTAGAGATAGACACTACAGTCCAGAGCCTGCCAAATTTTTTCCAACTAGCCAATCCTAAGTCTCCTTACCCTGCCTAGCTCGTCTTTCCCACAGAAACTACATAAAGGCTCATATCCATCTTAGCCTCTCCCTCCTCCTGCCTCTTGATCAACCGGTGCTTCCCTGTGTGGCCCTGCATTGTGGGGCATGCCCCCTACTCTTGAGACCTGTGAATAATAATGGCAATTATCTCCTGATCTGTTGGCTTCACCATACCTGAATATACACAAAATCCTGGGTCTATTTTAAAACACTGTGTCCTTATTTCACATATTAGAAACATGTCCAGTAAGACCACTCACTTTATATAACAAGTAATCCAAGCAAAATTAAGCCTAGAGGAGAATGTCAAGAACAGTAATCCAAGTCTAGGGCCCTCTCAGTTTTCAAACTGAAGGTCTTCAATTTTCCTTCTACTGGCCCAGATATTCAGAACTTACAGTCACTCCAGAGAGCTTTTGGGAGCCCTATTTTGTTTGCATTGAGTATTTGGCATCACTATCATTAATGTCCCTCAATTTGATCTCATTGGCTTAATATGTTTCAGAATTTTCAAAAAGTTTTTGTTCCGATGATGGCACTATGCCCTACTTAATGGTGCAGCTATCAACTACTTTTCTTCTTCCTCCACTCTTCCACCTTCTCCTCCTCATTTTTCTTTACTTTCAACAGAATTGGGCAGGGAAAGACATAAAAACCTGGGTTAGCTTTGCCATCAGGAGGTGACAGAGTGTTCAATGGCCTGCATTTTTCACCTAACAGTCATACCAGCTGTGATTCAGTCTCATAAACAGAAAGCCCTCTAGCTATTTTAAGCAGCAAGAAGCTTAATCTGAGGAATTAAGTGCTTTACAAACTTAATGGAAAGATGAAGGAGGAGGCTCCAGACTGGGCTACCAGGAAGACTCCCCGAACAACTTTGCAAAACTGGTCTGCCAAGGGAACAGCTTTCTCCGCTGCAATCCAGAAACTGGGGAATCTGGAACTAACGTTCCAATTGTGCCCTAGTATCCCCTACTCTGGTGATCAGAAAACCCCTGTAACAGTTGTCTCTAGGAACCTATCTCCTTAGCAGAGACTGGGAGAAAATATTTGCAAAAGTCGTATCTGAACTGGACTGTTATTTGAAATATACAAAACTCTAAAAACTCCACAATAAGAAAACAACCTGATTTAAAAAATGGACGAAAGGTCTTAACAGACACCTCACCAAAGAAGATATACAGATGATAAATAAGCATATGAAAGGATGCTCCACATCTATGTCAACAGGAAAACAAAATTAAAACAATGAGAGGCCACTACACACTTATTAGAATGGCCAATATCTGGAACACTGATAACACCAAATGCTGGAGAGGACTGGAGAAACAGGAACTCTCGTTCGTTGCTGATGGGAATGCAAAATGGTACAGGCACTTTGGAAGACAGTTTGGCCGTTTGTTTTTTTTCCTTTACAAAACTAAACATACTCTTATCATTTGATCCAGCTATCAAGCTCCTTGATATTTACCCAGAGGTGTTGAAAACATGTCCACACAAAAACCTGCACACAGATGTTTACGGCAACTTTACTCATAATTGCCAAAAGTTGGGGACTTCACTGGTGGTGCAGTGGTTAAGAATCCACCTGCCAATGCAGGGGGAACACGGGTTTGATCCCTGTTCTGGGAAGATCCCACATGCCACGGAGCAACTAAGCCCGTGTGCCACAGCTGCTGAGCCTGCGCTCTAGAGCCCGCAGGCCACAACTACTGAGCCCGCAAGCCACAACTACTGAGCCTGCGTGCCATGACTACTGAAGCCCACGTGCCTAGAGCCCGTGCTCCACAACAAGAGAATGAGAAGCCTGCACACCACAACGAAGAGTAGCCCCCACTCACCGCAACCAGAGATAGCCCGTGCACAGCAACGAAGACCCAATGCAGCCAAAAATAAACAAGTAAATAAATAATTGCCAAAAGTTGAAAGCAACTAAGATGTCCTGCAGTAGATGAATAGATAAATAAACTGTGGTACATCCAGATAATGAAATATTATTCAGCGCTAAAAAGAAATGAGCTATCAAGCCATGCAAAGACATGGAGAAACCTTAAATGCATATTACTAAGTGAAAGAAGCCAATCTAAGAAGGCTACATACTATATGATCCCAACTATATGACAGACTGGAAAAGGCAGAACAGTGGAGACAGTACAAAGATCAGGGGTTGGCAGGGGAGAGGAATGAATAGGCAGACCACAGAGGATTTTTAGGGCAGTGAAAATACTGTGAATGGTACCATAATGATGGATATATGTCATACATTTGTCCAAACCCAAGAATGAACTGTAATGTACATTATGGACTTCGGGTGATTCTGATGTATCAATGCAGGTTCATCAATTATAACAAATATATCACTCTGGTGGGGAATATTGACAATGGGGGACGTTATGTTATGTGGGGGGCAGGAGGTATATTAGAAATCTATACCTTCCATCAATTTTGCTGTGAACCTAAAACTGCTTTATAAAAAAGTCTTAAAGGTTTTCTTTTGTCATTGCTCTTTTGTTTTGGCTTTAAATGAGGGATTTGCTTTAAATCAGCACTATCAAGACTACTACAGAATTTTCTCTTCTTAACAATAAGTAAAATTTTAAAAGGCTACAGGTTCCTTTTTCCTTAGATCCAAAGGGAGAGCAGAGATACAGAAATAATACTAGAATTTGGTGACCAGAATTAGAGTTGTACTTTTGATGTGGAATATGCAAGGGAAAGAAATTCTGTGCGTAATATCTCTTTAATCTCTGTGCCAGAGACTGTTTGGGTGTTCATCAGTATAGCTTCCTCTTCCAGGACTCACAGGAAGACTATATTTGCCCGCATCCTTGGCAGTTAGATTAGGGCCATGAGACTGGATTACATCCAGTGGAACATGTGTGAAAATGATATGTACATTTCTAGGACTTATCTCTGAAATGTCCCATCCCATCTTTCATACTGTCTTCCTGGTCCACAAGCCTGGATGTTAAGGGTTCTGAGATGATGAAGCCCCTAATGAAATGTTCATTGCAGCACTACTTACATTAGCCAGGACATGGAAACAATCTAAATGTCCATCGACAGATGAATGGATAAGGAAGATGTGGTACATATATACAATGGAATATTACTCAGCCATAAAAAGGAACGAAATTGGGTCACTTGTAGAGATGTGGATGGGCCTAGAGTCTGTCATATAGAGTGAAGTCAGAAAGAGAAAAGCAAATATCGTATATTAACACATATATGTGGAATCTAGAAAAATGGTACAGATGAACTTATTGGCAGAGCAGGAATAGAGACGCAGACGTAGAGAATGGACTTGTGGACACAGTGGGGGAAGGGGATGGTGGGATGAATTGGGAGACTAGGTTTGACATAAAACACTACCACGTGTAAAACAGATAGCT